CGGGGCTTGATCCCAGGACCCTGGGATCATGACCTGAGCTGAAGGTAGTCGCTTAACCAACCGAGCCACCCAGGCGCCCCGATTGCCATTGTTTTTATTGAGTAGTCAGTTGCCACATATTTAGTACTTTGAACCATGCCTTATTCCTTTCACTGCTCTAGACATTTTTTCTTTTTCTAGTTTTCAATAATGGTAATATTTGCATAAGTATAATTTTCTGAATATATTTTGTTTGAGGTTTGTGGGACTTCCAAAACCTGTAGCTCGATGATTTTCATTTTAGAAATTTCTTAAGCAGTAACTCCAAATATTCCTTTTTTCTCTTTCTGGGACTACAGTTACATTAAAGTTAGCCCATCTCTCTGTTATATTCTTTTTTTTTTTTTTTTAAAGATTTTATTTATTTAACAGAGAGAGACACAGAGAGAGAGGGAACACAAGCAGGGGGAGTGGGAGAGAGAGAAGCAGGCTTCCTGCGGAGCAGGGAGCCCGATGCGGGGCCTGATCCCAGGACCCCGGGATCATGACCTGAGCTGAAGGTAGACCTTTAATGACTGAGCCACCCAGGCGCCCCTCTTTTCTGGTTCTTTTCCATCCTTTGGATTCTCTATACATCATTCTGAATTTTTTTCTTCTGACCAAACTTAATTCACTATTCCTACAGTTATATTTCACCTGATGTTAAACCCATTCACTAAATTCTTAATTTTAGCTTTGTTTTTGTTTTTTAAATTCCTAATTCCCTACTGAATTTTGTTCAAAAATTTAACAGTAGAATGAGAGAAGCAAGTAAGTACAGTAAAACACACATAATATTAGTCGGTACAATGTATAGGACAGCATGAAAGTAGGCAGGGAAATACTTCAATGGGCACCTAAAGCTTAAGTTGAGTTGGAAATCTATATGAATGAATCTGGGAGGGAGGGGGATCACCATGAGCTTCAGTATAAAAACATGAGGTATATTCCCCACATGTTTGGGGAATTACAAATTGATATGACTAAATTTAGGGACAGACTAGGTAGGTGGAGAGTAACAGAGCAAGATGAAGCTCAAAAAGAAGGCAAGAGCCAGATCACAAAAGATCTTACACACTAGATGAAGAGTTTGTACTTCACCCCGTAAGTAAGGGGCAAGGAGGAGGTTAATATTAAAGATTAACAAAGAGAAAACAACAAATTTATTCTAGGAAGACCATTCAGGCAGAATTATGGGAAAAGGTTTCAAGACAAAATAAGTCATAGATCAATAAGTAAACCTACTGGAATAATCGAGGCCAGAGAAGACCAGAACCAGAATCACAGCACCAATATAGAAGGTTGTACCCAGGGGCACCTGGGTGGCTCAGATGGTTAAGCATCTGCCTTCAGCTCAGGTCATGATCCCAGAGTCCTGGGATCAAGCCCCGCATCAGGCTCCCTGCTCTGTGGGAAGCCTGCTTCTCCCTCTTCTGCTCTCCCTGCTTGTGTTCTGTCTCTGGGCTGTCTCTCTCTCTGTCAAATAAATAAAATCTTTAAAAAAAAAAAGGATGTACCCAGTCTTCAGTGACTGAATATGAAGAGAAAATAAGGTCCAATCCCAGCTTTCAAGCACTAGTCACAGAGGTAAATGTTCAGAACATTTAAGAGAAAGATCACAAAAGATAATGCCATCTCACTTAGATCTCTTGCAGTAAAAGAGTTATGCAAGTTTACAGAAGAGGCAAAATCTGTGTTGTGCCTTGAATTCTGATTATCATCCTTCAAACACAATGACAAAGATTTTAAAAATATTTTTTACTATATCTATATCATAATTGTACATATGTATTTCTCTTCTAGGTATTTTTCTATTATGTTATTTTAATTAAAACAAAACACCATGTTTTTTTCTTACTTAAGTATTTGTTTAATGTTTTAAAACTTAAGACACTTTAGGGCATCTGTCTGGCTCAGTCCATAGAGCATACAACTCCTGATCTCATGGTCAGGAATTCAAGCCCCAGATTGTGTGTAGAGGTTACTTTAAAAAAAAACTGAAGACACTTTAAATTTCTAAAGACAAAAGATTAATAAAAGTAACTTTACTTTTCAAATGTGACTTTTTAACAGCAAAGTGGAAAAGTGGTAAACAGTCTCCATTAAAAAAAAAAAAAATTCAGTATTCCCAACAAAACTAAAGATAGGCTTATATATAGCACTAATTCAGAAAGGGGACGAGGGGCGCCTGGGTGGCTCAGTCGGTTAAGTGTGCCTTCAGCTCAGTTCATGAGCCCCCACGTCGGGCTTTCTGCTCAGTGGGGAGCCTGCTTCTCTCTCTCCCTCTGCCGGCTGCTCCCCGTTTGTATTCTCTCTGTCATAAATATATAAAATCTTTAAAAAAAAGGGGGGGTATAATACATAAGACATGGACAAAACACCTTATTTTAATCCAAAAAAAGTATTTACTGAATCTTATATTCAAGTTTTCAATATGCCATTTGAGATCAATTATCCTTGAAAATAATTAAACCATTCAATATAATCTCTGAAATAGTATCTAGTTAACATAATATTTGCCTTAAGTATACCAGACAAATATTTACTATCAGCAAAATAAAAACAAACAAAGCATTTTTGCATCGAAAGCCTGACATTCTGATCCACTGGATTTAGATTTTTTCCTAAGTATAATAATATTAAAAAATCTCTTTGGGTACTCAACATATTAGAAGTACAACTACCTATTTATAATTGCTAACTTCAAACAATATGACTCATCAGTAAACACCAACACAATACTTTAGCAATCATCTTAAGTGGAATGACAAGTGGAAAACAAAACAACAATGGGTCACCAAATTCTTTCATCTGTTACTATAAAAAAAATTTATTTAAAAAACCTAAATACACAAACATGATTAAACATTTAAAAATTAAACTGAAATAAGTTATAAGACTTCCTTTTTCCCTTTTACAAGAAAAAAAAAGTTTCAAACATAAAAGGTCAAATTTAGTTCTAAATATTTTCTTGGGTTTTTTTTTAATTGTTTTCTAATACTATTTTATTAAATTACTTATCCAGTCGCTTCTTCAGGTTCTCCAGGTGTTCCACTTCAACATCTTGTAATGCCAGTACCATTGCTTTAGACAAGGAGGGATTATATGAAATAGTCATTAAACAGCACAAATCTATTAAATCTCTCTGACACTTCTGCAAACCATCCAGGAACTTCTGGTATTGAAGAGGATCTTTTTTTAACTGTTTCATTTCTGGTACTGAAAACCCTATCAAACTAGTAAGTATTTCATCTACAAAGTCTACATCTAGATATGCAGTACCATCGGAAATCTTTGCTGTTATACTCCAAATGCCACCAGAACTTGAAAGATTTCCAGTTAAGGTTACAATAAATGCTTTGACCTTCACTGTTGTAACTTCCTTTGGTTTGCTGGCCATTAGAACAGACAAATAGGTAAAGGGTGGAGAATATAAATCCATGGCAATAGAAAGATTAGCGCTGTTCTCTGATGATCTTAAAGAACAAGTCTGTAAATGGTGGTCATTTTCATTAGAAATGTGTGAACTCCTTTTTGGTACATAATTTACCAGCTCTCCATTTGATATTGATATTTTATTATTTAAGGAATGTCCATCTGCACTACTGAAGGTTTGTTTTATTTTATTATCTGTCTCTGAGTCCTTATCTTTATTTGTAAAATCATGGGGAAGGGGTACATTATGAACTGAAAAAATACTACTGCTTTGCTCTCCAGCAGACGGACAACTAAAAGATTTGCCTTCATTAGTCATTTGTTCAGACACATTTTTTTCATTCCAAATACTGTTTCCATTTTTGCAAATCAAAGAAAAATTATCTGGAGTATTAGGTTTATGTGAAAATCTCTCTATACTTTCATCTGGGGTTCTGTTCAAAGTCAATGGCTGTAATTCTTTAGTCTTCATTTGTTCTTTCTGGACAGTTTCTTCTAAAAGCAAAGCCTCCTCCAGTGAAAAGTCATCTAATTCCCCATCAGTGAAATACATAGATTGATTTGGTGGCTCCTCCTTTGGTTTTGGAGAAATAATATGTCGTGGTTCAAAACTTGACTGCTTTGTGGGAATAGTATTTGAGGAACTACCTGTACTGAAACATCTTCTTTCTAAGGAGGTGTCATTATTTGCTATAAGCTCATCATTTTCATCAAGACTTGCCAAGAGTTCTTCATCAGAAGGTCCTAATGCAGGATCTAGAACATCTGTAATTCCAGGGATGCTTTGGTTAGGATTATTTGGTATGACTGAAACTACAGGATCAGGTTCCCCAATTAATCTTGCAAGTACTTTTTCTTGGGCATATTCCTCTAAAAGAGCATCTACTTCTCCTCCCAACACCTTCACATTTTCTGGTTTCAATAAGAGAACACCAAGACGGAAAGAAATGTTTCCATAAATCAGAATTTTTGTACCTGGCGGAAGATCACTATGAAGAGCTGGAATAGACTGATATTCCATTCCCTGCATTTGTACTATTCCATCAGTTAGCTGTAGCATCAACATTCGTGAAGGCTTTGCTTCCCAAGGTTTTGGGGTTACTTGTGTTTCAGCTGTAATTAGGTCATTCGTTGTATTCTTTCCTCTCAACTTTTGTATCTGGGAATACGCAGGTTGACTGACATCAACCAATGAATTAATCTGCAGAGCGAAAAATCCATTCAGTTCTCCTTTTGGAACTTCTAAAATGCCATCAGGTAAAACAGGATGTTCCAAATCTCTCAGATCAGTAAGAAGCCATTGCTCAAACACTTGTTTATTCATTTGTGCCTGACTCAAATTAACATTATCATTTTCTTCTTGGATCCAGTTAATACAAGCTTCCAGCCACATTAGAGGTACTTTAACATGCCATGTAGCTAAAAGCCAGGTTTCAACTCTTAATGCAATATTAGTTACACTCATTTCTTTTAAAATAAAAGAAATATTATGCATGTATTACCTGAAAACAAAAAAACAAAAAAAATTTATGATAATTCAGTACATTTAAATATAGTTTCTACAATTTTCTACAACCCACAGGTATAACCACACCCATTAGATTTTTCTCTCTTTAGCATCTTAAAATTCTTTGACTTTCCGCATGGCCAAAATTCAAATACCACAAGTCATCAGATGATATAGTGAGAAAAGCAAAAGGTTTGAGACAGATATTTCAGGTTTGAAAGCTAACTGTCAAATTACAAGTTCTGTGACCTAATATAAATCTCTTAACTTCTCTAACCCAGTTTTTTCATCTGTAAAGTGTCAATACAACCAATCTATCGTCAAGGGTTGTTGTGAAGATTATATGATTAACATTTGTAAAGCATAACGTCAAACCTATGAAAGATAGTCTGTAAAACGTAGTTATTATTATATTAATAATCAGATTCTAATCACTTAAAATTTAGTCAAGAAACAATAGTCACTAAGGTTCTCTTCACATCTATAACTCATATTCTATTAAAACTTTTACCATTGTGTTTGCCCATCTAGTACTTAAATATGTGGTCTATGATAAAAATATAACAAATAACAATAGATTCTGAACTGATGTAAAGAATCTTATTTGTTTGGCTAAATAAATCTCAACAGTCCTATACTTCTGATTTTCTCAGTATAAAAGTGGTTTCAAAACACTAAACACTAATTAACCCTGTGTTCATAAAAGTATTTTTTTTCCTCCCACAGATGAAAATATCTAGAGTTAAAATTTATAAAAGTTTTAATATGACCACAAGAAAACTTACCATTTGAACAGGAACATAGGATTTGATGACAGGATTTGGAACTGGTTGTTCAGTGGAGTAACTGTTACCTCTACTGTTCAGAAATGGCCCTGGGACAAGAAGCGGTAAGGGTTAAAAGGCAAAGCTGCAGAAAGAATACTGGTCTATTTGCAGGAGTGTAAGAGTTTGGTGGTATGGTTTTGGGGGTTCCTATTATCAGTCAGGGCAGAGTGGAGGTAAAATAATAAAAACATGAGGTTTGGAGTGAGCTAAACAGAAGCAAGTGACCATGAGAAATTTATATAGTCCAAGTGTGCTTCCTTGTCTATAGGCTTAACCTCAGAGAGTTACTTGTAAAAATTAAAAAAGATAGGAGAGGATGGCCCACAAGGCACTGGCACAGGCACATATCTTGGGCAGCTGGGTCAGGTGACCCAAGGGAGTGATCCAGCTAGCCTCAGCATCCCCACCACCAAGGCCAGTCAGTTACAGGATTTACGGCAGCTTCTACAGGCTGGGAAGTGGGTGCCCAGAAAGTGTCCAAGGTCCACATGCAAAATAAATGGAAGCTGAAGCAGGCCAAGGCAGCTCAAGCTGAAATAGAATAGTACAACCTACAAAGAGAGAAAAGTGTCCAAGGCTGAGGAAATTACAGCTCTGGGATCCCATGGCAGGGGGAGTACTGAAGTGGAGAAGGAGACTCAAGAGATGATGACCATCCTCCAGCCCTAATTCCAGTAAAACAGGGATTAAGTCCTAGATAACCTCTTGGCCTTTGAGACATCAACCAGAAATCCATAAAGACTACCACATAAATGGACAGGGGAAGAAGAAAGAAGTGCCTGTTCCAAGGATTAGAATTTTGGATGCCTTCATAGAATATGAAATTTTAGCAAAGCTTGAATTATATTCTTGTGAAAAGGCAGTAAATTATTTCTGTATATTATATAGGAGGTCCTTTTACTTTTTGGAGAATAAAAAATCTAGCTTCTTTGTATGAACTTAAAGCTTATCCTAATGTAAATGGTAACTATAGTTAATAATACTGTACTTCTTATTTGCAAACTGCTAAAAGAGCAAATCTTAAAAGTTCTCATCACAAGAAAAAAAATTCTGTTAACTATATATGGTGATGAATGTTAACTAGACTTATTGTGGTAATCATTTCACAACGTATACAAATATCAAACCACTATGTTGAACCACTGAAACTAATAGAATGCTGTATATCAATTATACCTCAATTTTTTAAAAACACACACACACCAAAAAAGAGCTTACCTAAAGATTTCATTTTTTTACCTTGTATTTCTTAGAAATTTAATATGCATACATTGTCTGGTTCCCTATGTCTTTTAACTCAAGCAACATATACATCAATAGTGACTTTTTCTTTATTAGATGTAAAATAAATTTTTTGGAAATAAAAAGGGAGGGGGAATTACATGGTTTTCCCCCATAAAGTTTTCTTGAGGATCAGCGGCTTTATCTATGAGAAAGTAGTAAATAGTTATTTGTAACCTGTGTTAAGCAGCAGACAGCCTTAAAATAGTCCTTTCTGGCTAAGGGTTAGAACAATAGGGGCACCTGGATGGCTCAGTCAGTCAAGCACCTGATTCTTGATTTTGGCTCGGGTGGTGATCTCGGAGCCCTGATTTGGGCTCCATGTTGAGTGTGGAGCCTCCTTGGGATTCTCTCTCTCCTTCTCCCCTCTGCCTCTTGTACACATGCATGTGCTCTCTCTCTCTCTCTCTCAAATAAATAAGTAAATACATACATACATACATACTAGTATAATTGTTTGGGCTGCTTTTAGTTCCTCTTAATCAAAATTACTATATGACAGAATTCAAGAACTGGTTACATGTTATTACATGTTATTATTGGGTATACTGATAATCATTTAAAAGTAAAGACTATCATGCACAAAAGCAAAATAAAACAAAATAAAATAGATGGGAGAGCCAGTATATAGTCTAGTGATTCAGAGTATAACTGCCAAATTGTCTCACACTTATAAACTTTGTGACCCTAAACAAGTGATCACATTATTAATTTAACAAATGGTTACAATTTAAAGGAGTTATAGTTGTTTTACATGAATAACATTTTAAAGGAAGGGCTAAGAAGGTCATTATAATTTCAGAACTGGTGAATCTTTAGAGTGAAAAAAATTAGAATATATATATATTTTTTTAATTATATACAAAAAACAATATAAAATTTCAAAGGTAGGAAAGGTCCCTGGCCCATTGTGATGAAAACTGACCATGTAGAGATTGATCAAAAGACTCTTTAAGGCATTTAAGACTATGGCACCCCTATCCCAAGTCAGAGAGACTGCTCCTAGAGAGGGTAAAAAAGATCTCTAGACTAGGGGATGCCAGAGTACAGCTGAAGTGGAAATAACTTACTGAAAATAGGGGGAAGAAATAAATTCCTAATTCCTAAATGCTGAATACATATTACTCTCTTTTCCAGAAATACCACCGACTAGGCCTATACTCTCCTAGAAAGAAGACAAGAAAATCTTTCTCTGAGCAATCTTACTACCTTAACAGAAAAGACCTAAGGATATTAACACAAGAGGTTCTCCAATTAAACAGCCCATTTGAGACTGTATCCAGACTCAGAGTTTCAACCAGCTTTCTAGTTCCCCTCTTAACTATAACAAGATATCTGAGAAAAGCTTTTAACAGTAAGGCACATCAAACAAACAAACAAACAAACAAATGCAATGCATTGACTATGAAGAGAGACAAAAACTTCAAAAAAGCTATCATTAATATCCTAAGAAAGATTATTGTCTGTGTAGTAAGAATAGGATTCTGTAACAAGAAATATTCATAGGATAAAAAACAATTCTTAGAAATTTAAAATATGATAGTGGAAATGAAAAACAGTAGAACAAATGGAAGATAAAGTTAAGAAAATCTCTTCCAAAAATAAAACATCAGTACAAAGAAATCAATGAAACACACGGGGGAAAAAAAGAATAGCCCAATTAGTCTAACAGACTAGGAGTTCCAGAAGGAGAAAAGAGAGAAAACAAAGGAGGGAGGGGGAAGGGATAATCAAAGAAATAAATTAAGAAAAATGTCCAGGGATGCCTGGGTGGCTCAGTCGGTTAAAGCCTCTGCCTTCGGCTCATATTATGATCCCAGGGTCCTGGGATCAAGTCCCGCATCGGGCTCCTTGTTCAGTGGGGAGCCTGCTTCTCCTTCTGCCTGCCGCTCCCCCTGCTTGTGCTCTCTCTGATAAATAAAGAAAATCTTAAAAAAAAGAAAAATTTCCAGAACTTAAAGATAAGAGCCTCTGGATGGAAAGAACCCAATACAATGAATAAAACAGACATACAACAAGGCATTATCTTTATGAAATTTAGAATGCAGGGATAAAGATGCTGCAAGCTTCCAGAGAAGGATGATAAACAATGAATGAAAATGGTTTTACATGAGAGACGATGGACTCTGAAAAACAAACTGAGGGTTCTAGAGGGGTGGGGGTGGGAGGATGGGTTAGCCTGGTGATGGGTATTAAAGAGGGCACGTTCTGCATGGAGCACTGGGTGTTATGCACAAACAATGAATCATGGAACACTACATCAAAAACTAATGATGTAATGTATGGTGATTAAAATAACAATAAAAAATTTTAAAAATGGTTTTAGATTTCTCAATAGAAGCTGGAAGGTAAATGAGCAATTCCTTCAAATTTCCAATGAAAATTATTTCCAACCTATAAACCTCTACCCAGGCAAAGCATCAATCAAGTATGACAGTGAAATAAAAACATTTTCAGATCAGCATTGTCTAAAACAATTTTTGTAATAGAGGATGTGCTCTAACATAATAGAGAAACCAGGAAAGAGGAAGAAGTGAGGGAAAAAGCATTATAGTGAGAAGTATTTGCAGGATGTAAAGGCAAACAGCTCAGAAGGCCTGAGGAGAAATTATTTTTCAAAGAAGATAAAATCATGTGAGACCACTATTTCTAGGATCTCATGTCTTTCTCTTTCTTGGTTTACACCTCTGTTAGTTAGAACATTAACGTATCCCAATGTAGAGGAGAAATTTAAGTAACCACAAGAGTTAGGGGTTGATCTGATGAAAAATGGTAGAGAAAACAAAAAACGGCCACAAGAGAAAAGAAAATGTTGTACAGGAAAGATAAAGCAATATTTGTATACTACGTGGCTTAGTTCTAAATAACATGTGTGTTGGGCGCCTGGGTGGCTCAGACGGTTAAGCGTCTGCCTTCGGCTCAGGTCATGAGGTTCCGCATTGGGCTCCCTGCTCCTTGGGAGACTGCTTCTCCCTCTGCTTCTCTCTCTCTCTCTCTCTCTCTCTCTCATGAATAAATAAATAAAATCTTTAGAAATAAATAAATAAATAAATAACGTGTGTAGTAATAACAGACACTCTAAATTATCTGACAGAAATTTTAATATAGTTATACAGATTTAATAGCAAAATGGAAAAAGATGTGTGTGAGAGTAGGGGTGGGTGAGAAAGGTAGGTGGAGAGAGCTAAATTCTCATCTCTATAGTAAAAGTCAACAGATAATGCCTAAAACTGAAAAATCAAGATGTAGCAATATCTGTACGGTTTCCAGAGTTACAGAAGTAAATACAAAAATCAATCTGCTAGAGAAGTTGAAAGTGGTTGCTTTTAGGGAAAGGGAACAAAGGAACAAACAAATCTGCTATTTTTCAAAATAATTCTTTAAAGTTTGATTTTTAAATATATATAAAACTTTTTATTTTAATCTTCTTCCATTGATTTCTTTGTACTGATGTTTAACTTGGGGGGGAAGATATTAACTTTACCTTTCATGTGCTCTACTGAGTTTTTCATTTCATTAGAAATAAACAAAATAGTACAAAAGTATGTATGTTTTAAAATTAAAGGTATGAATTATAATAGCGATATATTGGGAGAGATGGTAGCTACACCTGTGGTGAACGTAGCATAATACATAAACTTGCTGAATCACTGTTGCACACCTGAAACTAATATAATATTGTATCAACTATACTAAAAAAAAAATTAAAGGTATGAAAGACAAAATGCTTTCCCCCTGAGATCAAGAATAAAACAGATGTTGGGGTGCCTGAGTGGCTCAGTCAGTTAAGTGTCCGACTCTTGATTTCAGCTCAGGTTATGATCTCAGGGTCATGGGATCTAGCCCCACATTGGGCTCTGTGCTCAGCGCAGAGTCTGCTTGAGATTCTCTCTCCTTCTCCCTCTGTCCCTTCCCCTGCTCGCACGCTATCTAAATAAATAAAATCTTTTAAAAAAAGAATAAAACAGATGTCCTACTCACTTTTGCAGCACATATACTAAAATTGGAAGGATACAGAGAAGATTAGCATGGCTCCTGTACAAGGATGACATGCAAATTCACCAAGTGTTCCAAATTTTTATGAAATAAAAACTAAAAAACAACAACAACACACACACACACAAAAGAATAAAGCAGGGACGTCTGGGTGGCTCAGTCAGTTAAGCGGCTCCCTTCAGCTCATGATCCTGGGGGTCCTGGGATCAAGTCCTGCATCAGGCTCCTTGCTCAGCGGGAGGCCTGCTTCTCCCTCTGCCTCCCATTCCCCCCTGGGTTGTGCTTTCTCTCTCTCTCTCTCACAAATAAATAAATAAAATCTTCATAAATAAATAAATAAATAAAGCAGAGGTCTACTCTCAACATTTTAACATTTACCGGAGGCCTCTGTGAGTACAATAAGGCAAGAAAAAGAAATAAAAGGTATATAGATTAAAACAGAAAAAAATAGCACGCATAAAGATATATAGACCAATAGAACAGCATGAAGAGCCCAGAAACAAGCCCTCATATATATATATACATATATATATATATATACTCCAGTGATCTTTGACAAGGGTGCCAACATAACACAAAAGAGAAAGAATAGCCTCTTCAATAAATGGTGCTGGGAAAACTGGATATCCACAGCAAAAGAATGAAAATGTACCCTTGTCTTATACCATATTCAAAAATTAACTCAAAATGGAGATCTAAATGTAAGACCTGCAACTATAAAACTACCAGAAGAAAATATAGGAGGAAAAGCTTCATAACACTAGAATAGGCAATGATATCTTGGATGTGATACCAAAATAATAAGTAACAAAAGCAAAAACAGACAAATAGAACTACATCAAACTTAAAACTTCTGTTCAGGGCTGCCTGGGGGGCTCAGTCAGTTAAATATCTGCCTTTGGCTCAGGTCATGATCCCAGGGTCCTGGGATCGAGTCCCACATCTGGCTCCCTGCTCTGTGGGGAGCCTGGTTCTTCCTCTTCTCCCTGCCAGTGTTTTCTCTTGCTATCTCTGCCTCTCTCTCTCAAATAAATAAATAAAATCTTAAAAAAAAATTTTTTTTAATAAATAAAACTTCTGTTCAGCAAAGGAAACAAAAGAGTGAAAAAGCAACCCAGGAAATGGGAGAAACATTTGCAAACCATAATCTGATAAGGGATTAATATTCAGAATATATAAAGAACTCCTCAACTCAATAATTAAAAAAAAAAAATTTAATGGGCAAAAAACATACAGACATTTTCCCAAAGATATACCAATGGCAAACAAACATATGAAAAGATGCCCACCATCATCATCATCATGAGAAATGCAAATCAAAACTGCAATGAGATATCACTTCAGACCCCTTACAATGGCAACTAGCCAAAACCAAAACCAAAACCAAAGAAAATAACAAGTGTTGGTGAAGATGAGGAGAAATTGGAACCCTTACCCACTGTTGGTGGGATTGTAAAATGGTGCAGCAGCTATGGAAAACAGTATGGAGGTACCTCAAAAATGAAAAATAGAACTGCCATATGATCCGGCAATCCCAGTTCTAGGTATATATCCAAAAGAATTGAAAACAGAATCTCCAAGAGGTATTTACAAGCCAATATTTATTATGGCATTATTCACAATTGACAAGATGTAGAAGCAACCTAGTTGTTCAACAACAGATAAATGGATAAAGAAAATGTGGTACATAGATAAGAAGGAATATTAATTGGCCTAAAAAAGGGGGGGAGGGAAGAAATCACATCATAGGCTATAACAAACATGAACCTTAAGGACATTATGCTCAGTGAAATAAGCTAATCACAAAAGAAAAAACTGCATGATTTTACTTACATGGAGTATGTAATCAAACTCATAAAAACAGAAGTAGATGTGGCTGCCAGATACGAGGGGAGGAAAAAATGGGGAGTTGTTGTTCAATGTATATAGAATCTCATTCATGCAGGATGAAAAAGTTCCAGAGATCTATTGTACAACAACATGTATATAGTTAACAATATCATAATGTACACTTAAAGTTGTTTAGAGGTTAAATTTATGTGTTTTCTACAATAAGAAAGAGAGAACAGTGGAGAAAAAAACAAAAAAAGAAATTACTTCTAAAATAAAGATAACATAAATGTTTATGAAGAAAGCACTGAAGAATCTACAAAATAGCTACATGGCCTAATAAATGAGTTAGCAAGATGCATCTTTTCCATGCTATTTAGTGCTATATTTTTCACACTTTTGTGCTTTTTGTTGCCGATTTCACTGTTTCAAATGGCCCCCAGCATAGTGCTGAAGTGCTGTCTTGTGTTCCCAGGGCAAGAAAACTGCAATATGTCAAATGGAAAAAAATGAATCTAACAAAATACATACAGGATATTTATCCTGAAAACTACAAATTACTGATGAAAGAAATCAAAGATGATGAAAACAAATGAAGAGAAGAAAAAAAAATGAAGAGACCCGCTGTGTTGAAGACTCTTTCTTAAGGTTTCAGTTCTCCCCAGCTGATCTAAAGATTTAATGCAATTCTATCCAAAATCCCAGCAATCGGTTTTTTTTGTAAAAAAAAATGACAAGATGATTCAAAAAATTTGTAAGGAAAAAAATAATAAAGTAACAATAAATTTTATAAGGAAAGGCAAAGGAACTGCAATAGTCAAGATAATTTTGAAAACAAAATACAAAGTTAAAGGATTGACACTATCTGACTTCAAGACAGTATAAAATTTCATAATCAAGAGAGTGAGGTATTGGCAAAAGGATTAACATATAAACCCATGGAAAGAGAACACAGTGTAGAAATAGACCCAAGCATAATATAGCCAACTAATTTTCTACAAAGTCGCAGATTCAATGCAACTTCTACAAAGTTGCAAGTCAATGGAAACAGGATAGTCTTTTGAACAACTGGTGCTGAAAACAACTGGACATTCATATGAAAAAATAAGAACCTCAACCAATACCCCACATCTTATATAAAAAAACTAAATGAATCACAGACCTAAATGTGAAAACTGAAACTACAGAAAAGCTATAAGAAAAGTTAAGAGAAAAATCTTTGTGACCTTGGTTTCTTAAAAGTTTTCCTAGGGACAACATCAAAAGTATAATCTAAAAAACTATAAAAAAGAAAGAAAATAAATTGGCCTTTAACAAAATTTTTAAATTTTGCTCTGTGAAAGACACTGTAAAGAATATAAATTTTGGGAGCTTGGGTGGCTCAGTCGTTAAGCGTCTGCCTTTGGCTCAGGTCATGGTCCCAGGGTCCTGGGATCGAGCCCCGCATCGGGCTCCCTGCTCTGCGGGAAGCCTGCTTCTTCCTCTCCCACTCCCCCTGCTTGTGTTCCCTCTCTCGCTGTGTCTCTCTCTGTCAAATAAATAAATAAAATCTTTAAAAAAAAAAATTTTTTTTAAGAATATATTTTTTTAAGATTTTATTTATTTGAGAGAAAATGAGAGAGCACATGAGAGGGGGGAGGGTCAGAGGGAGAAGCAGACTCCCTGCTGAGCAGGGAGCCCGATGTGGGACTCGATCCTGGGACTCCAGGATCATGACCTGAGCCGAAGGCAGTCGTTTAACCGACTGAGCCACCCAGGTGCCCTGACACTGTAAAGAATATAAAGCCACACACACACACACACAAACACACACGACAAACGACAGACTGAGAGAAATAATTGACAAGACTTATATCCAAAATATATAAAGAATCTATACTTAAAATTCAATAAGAAAACTAACTTATTTTAACATGAATAAAACATCGAATAGGCACTTCACTGAAGAAGATATGCAGATGGCAAATAAACACATTAAAAGATGCTCAATATTATTAGACCTTAAGGAAATGCAAAATTAAAATCACAGTGTGGTACTACACATCTATTAGCATAGCTAAAATAAAAAATAACTGAGAATACCAAATATCAGAATTTTCATACATTGCTGGTGGGAATACAAAATGGCACAGCCACTTCGGAAAACAGATATGCAGTTTCTTAGAAAAACATACGCTTAACATAACAACCCAACAATCGCATTACCAGGTAATTACTCAAGAGAAATGAAAACTTACACTACTTAAAAAACTTTTTTGTGAATGTTTATAGTAGCTTTATTCATAATCACCGAAAACAACCCACATGTCCTTCAACTGGTGAATGGATAAATAAATTATGGTACTTCATCACAATGGAATACTATTCAGTAATAAAAAGGAATGAACGACTATTAGATTCAAAAACATGGACGAATGTTGCTACAGACTGTATCCCCCCCAAAATTCATATGTTGAAATCCTAATGCCCAATGTGATGGTATTAGGAGTAGGGCTTTAGGTCATGAGGATGGAGCTCTCATGAAAGAGATTATGGCTTTTATAAGAGACCCCCACCACCACCACCACCACCTAGCTACCTTGCCCCTTTCACCGAGGGAGGTTACAGTGAAAGATGGCCATCCACGAACACAGAAGTGGGTCCTCTTCACCAAACACTGAAACTGCTGACATCTTGATCTTGGACTTCCCAGTCTCCACGAAGTAAATTTCTATTGTTTCTAAGCCACCCAGTTTATGGTATTCTGTTAGAGCAGCCTGAACTATACTAAGACAAATGTCAAATGCAGTATGTGAAGTGAAAGAAGCCAAAGACCACACAATTCCATTTACATGACATTCTAGAAAAAGCAACATTAGCAACGAAAAACAGTTCAATGGTTGCCCAAGACTGAAGGTATAAGAGGGACTGACCACAGGGGCATAAGGAAATTGGGGGCGAGGGGGTGATAAAACTGTTCCAAATCATGATGGTGGTGGTGATAGTGATTTGGCTATGTTTGTTAAAACACACAAAGCTATACACCAAGAAAAACATAAATGTTACTGTATATAAATTATATCTCAATTAAAAAACTGAAGGTAAACATCAAAAGAATAGAAATATAATCATTTCCAAACTAGCCAAGGAAAACAAATAAAGAAAACAATCCAACAGAAGACACAAAGGAACAACCCACTACTATAAATAGAAACAATAAAATGGCAGAAACATATCTAAATAGATCAGCAATCATAATGAATATAGATTAACTC